ATCCGCCACGTCAGTCTTGTATCGAAAGATACATGATCGCCTAAGCGTATATCACATATGGCACATAACTGACTGAATCTTTACCTTACACTTTCTTTTTTTTTTTTAGTGTTCTCTTGTGTTCTACTTTACATATATATATATATATATATATATATATATATATATATATATATATATTTAATCATTACGCCCCGAGCAAGGCGTGAAGCCACTAGGATGCAGGGGTTGCAGAAGATTTGGAGCAAGAGCAGATAGGGAGTGATAGAAGAAAGGATGAGGAGAGGGATAGTGGATAGATCAAGGTAACTGGAGGTGTCGATTGACATTACATTTGAATATTTGGAGATTATAGCTCTCAGGGAAACAGTAATTGGGAAGGGTGTTCCACAGGCGAGATCGTCCCTAGAACAGTTAGTAAGGACAATTACAACTGTGTAGTGAGTTCCATCATCAGTTGGCGCCCCATACTTTCAACCTTGTTCCATATTTAAGCTACACTTAGAAAACCACCATGTAATTGCCGTTTGTTTAAAGTTATTTTTTTTAACTTAACTTTTTACCCGGACTCACATGAGTTAGACGATAAGGCTTGCGGGACCAATGTTTTAGGTTGTTTATGAATGTCAACTACAAATCGTCCACACTCTGCGTAAGCAAAGACGTGATAAGCTCAAGAAAATTCAACGGCAACATTTACACACTTTTGCTTATGATACATTAAAATACATCAGTTTTAATCGTCCTTAAATTACCTGGACTCTTCAGTTAGTCTCATTTTTCCTTACTATTTTTTTAAATCCTTTCACCCCAAGAAAGGCGGGGATGCTACTAATACGCAGGTGAATACAGACAGTGAAAGTGAGAGAAAAGACTAAGGAATGATAAAAGGATAAAAGTTGAACGGGATTCAAGAAGATAGAAAATGGCGATTGATGTTGCATTACAGTTAACTATAAACGAAATGCAAATAAAAGAAACGATAAATTAACTTCACATGCAGTTTATTTTTTTATCATTTAAACATAGCGGTCAAATATATAATGACTTTCTGATCGCTTTCATATTTATGTAATGAACTGATAGTACAAATGAAAGAATCAAAATCGCTGACACCAAAGCAATGCCTGAAGATGACGATTCTGATTGGACTGCCAAAAAAAAAAAAAAAAATACAAATATTTATTTTAACTGTTCATACTGCGTTCGTGTATCGATTAAAAGAAAAGGAATTCCTTGTTTTTATTTAAATGAGAACATTTCGAATACATAACTCGTGATTTTTCACTGCGGCCTCACAAAGAATTTATCTTAAAAGTTTTACATTAACCTGTGGCAACCCTGTGTTAGATATGAACGTACTTCCGATTTTGGGGTTGCATGATGAAAAATCCAGGACGTCTCATCTGATGAGATTTGTGTTTTATAATGCACTTGAACTTGTCCATTTTTTTTTCTTTCTTTTCTTGTTTCTTCGAATTCATTCAAATATTTTTTTTATTTAATGAATGTTTTTACTGAAGGGGATGTTTTGAAAGGCTAGTCGACATTATTTATCATAAACCTAGCTTAATCTGCTTCGCGATCCATTCACTCTAAGAATTTCTACGTTCACAAAATTAACCCATCCTTCTCCACCTAGGCCAACATATACCACAATGCCGCATATTCGCAGGTACCCTACTAAAATTTTTTTCGTCAGTATCCATCTTGCACATTTACAAATCTAACATTCGTCCAGCCATAGAATGCTGCTGCTATATCTGGTCTGGTGTTCATCTCGAGGTTATTGACAAAATCCAAAGAAAGCTCTGCAATATAATCGATCCTTACTTGGCATCTCGAATGCAGTAAATTTCTCACCGACGTGAAATGGCGCTCCTCTGTCTTTGATACAAATATTTTCATGGCAACTGCTCTGACGAGCTTTATTTCCCCTGGTGTGTTGACCATGTTCACCATAGTCTATGAATATAGAATACAGCGCAGTACTTAATCTGTTCAATAAAACAACGTTAAAGATTAACACTCACGAGTCAGACACTACACTGAATCTGACTATATCCCCAATACCACCACCAGCTGTTCCGTAATACTTCAGTTTTCGATATCAAAGGCTGGCAGTGAATATTCGGGAAAAAACATGGCCGCCTTTATAAACGTGGCATTGAATATTTTGAGCCTTCTGATTGGTTAACCCTTCTATTGGTTAATTATAAATGAGTCAGCTCATTTTGGCTGGCTCACTAGTACACCAGGGTACCCAAAAATCCCAACAGGGTGCCCCGAATAGATGAATTTAAATGTGCTACTAGATTGGTATTTAGGTTCCACCCATTTACTGTTGAAACAGCTAAATGCAACAGCTACTTCTACTCGAAGAGTTTCTTTTCTTTCACTCATAAATATCAATTTAAAACATCATTAATCTCTTGATTCATGAGGGCAAAAAGAAACAGAATTTGTTTCAACCTATCATGAACCTTTTCAGTGGGATTTCAGATAGATTAGCGGTGCCTGCCTCCTCGAAAAGCCCTTAACCGAAGTCTGTTTGCGCCGTCATCGATTCGTACAGGTTTAAAATTCATATTTGTTCTAGACACATTGTCTAAACTTAGAATAGGGAGAAGAGATGGAGTCATACTTTTCTCAAGATTATTAACACGTAAGTAAATGCAATAAACTAGACTAAAATTGGAACTTAGATCTCCAATTCCTCAAACCTAGTCGTTATATCCCTTACTTCATTTTCATTATGTACACTATTTACATTATTCGGACTATTGTCTTCATCTTTGTCGCCATATTTATTACAAAGTTTCGGCCGTTGTAGGCTCCGGCCTTCTTCAGGTTGTTGCAATGTCGAACTGAACACTTTATTTCGCTCACAGGGGTAGACTGTTCTAGTTCCACGTGCTATGTTTAATGGATGTCAGTTATCAGTTATCTCCTGTTAATTTTCCCTCTGAAAGTTCTCTACTGCCTTAACCGGGTATTTGTTGCCATATTAATTACAACGTTCCTGCCCTTCAGTATCTGTCTATATTTCTGAGATGAGGTATTATTTACACTATTTACATTATTCGGACTATTGTCCTCATCTTCGTCGCAATATTTATTACAACGTTTCGACCGTTGTACGCTCCGGCCTTCTTCAGATGGTTGGAATATCGAACTGAACCCTTTATTTCGCTCAGTGGAGGAGACTGTCCTAGTTCAACGTGCCACGTTTTAATGGATGTCAGTTGTCAGTTATCTCCTGTTAATTCCTCTCTCAAAGTTCTCCACTGCCTTAACCGGGTATTGAACACAAGGACACATGGCACAGTGGATAAAGGCGTTAGTTAGATCCAGTGACAGGACCCAAAGAGTGTGAGTTCAATACCCGGTTAAGGCAGTGGAGAACTTTCAGAGGGAAATTAACAGGAGATAACTGACATCCATTAAACATGTACTATGATTGCTTGCAGATGATATTATGGGCCTGTTTTATTTCATATGTGTGCTGAAAATAAAGTCTGTATAAGACTTGAATATCATGTTAATTGCAATAGTTTATCAATATAACTGACAGGAAAAGTAATGTCTAATAGATGTCAGTTATCAGTCATCTCCAAGTTCTCCAAATTCATGAGACATGGCACGTGGAACTAGAACAGTCTAACCCAGTGAGCGAAATAAAGGGTTCAGTTCGATTTTCCAACCAACTGAAGAAGGCCGGAGCGTACAGCGGCCGAAATGTTGTAATAAATATGGCGACAAAGATGAGGACAATAGTCCGAATAATGTAAATAGTGTACATAATACCTCATCTCAGAAATATAGACAGATACTGAAAGGCCGAAACGTTGTAATAAATATGGCGACAAAGTTGAGGACAATAGTCCGAATAATGCAAATAGTGTATATAATACCTCATCTCAGAAATATAGACAGATACTGAATGGCTGAAACGTTGTCATAAATATGACGACAAAGATGAGGACAATAGTCCGAATAATGTAAATAATGTACATAATACCTCATCTCAGAAATATAGATAGATACTGAAAGGCTGAAACGTTGTAATAAATATGGCGACAAAGATGAGGACAATAGTCGGAATAATGTAAATAGTGTACATAATACCTTATCTCAGAAATATAGACAGATACTGAAAGGCCGAAACGTCATAAATATGGCGACAAAGATGAGGACAATAGTCCAAATAATGTAAATAATGTACATAATACCTCATCTCAGAAATATAGACAGATAATGAAAGGCTGAAACGTAATAAATATGGCAACAAAGATGAGGACAATAGTCGGAATAATGTAAATAGTGTACATAATACCTTATCTCAGAAATATAGACAGATACTGAAAGGCCGAAACGTTGTAATAAATATGGCAACAAAGATGAGGAAAATCGTCCGAATAATGTAAATAATGTACATAATACCTCATCTCAGAAATATAGACTTCATTTTTTTATGTAATGTATTTTACACAAAGTAAGCGATTTAAAGTCAATTGGTCAAGACTTCCGTTCGAAAATGTAATTCTTACCAATGAAACATTGATACATTTCTGTTGCTTGCAAGACTATTTAAAGAAATGTTTTCTACCAAAGAAAGGATATTTTGATCAAAGAGAGATTATTTCCTTTGAAGAGTTTTCGAAGAAGTTTAACATATGCCTCCCCACCCAAAATAGATGTATCGAAAGGGCGCTTTTTTCTCTTGAAACCAGTTTTCTTGTATGGTCTCTTGGCAATTTTTATTTGATTTTATTTTTAAACGTTTTTTTTTTTTTGAGAATTTTAATAAGACCCAAACATATGAAACTTGATTTAAGTATTTTCATTTCCCTCGAAACTTGACAACAAATGAAATAAAAATACGTTATTTTATTTTATATTTACAAATTAAAAAATATGTGAACCATCTCACACTCAAGTCCCATAGACTCCAAGAGAACGATAAAACCACAGCACTCAAATCCCGTAGACTCCGAGAGATGGATCGAGCAAGAGTTCTCAAGTCCCGTAGACTCCGAGAGAAGGATGGAGCCAGAGCTCTCAAGTCCCGTAGACTGCCAGAGATGGATGGAGCCAGAGCTATCAAGTCTCGTAGACTGCCAGAGATGGATGGAGCCAGAGCTCTCAAGTCCCGTAGAGTGCCAGAGATGAATGGAGACAGAGCTCTCAAGTCCCGTAGACTCCGAGAGAAGGATGGAGCCAGAGCTCTCAAGTCCCGTAGACTGCGAGAGATGGATGGAGCCAGAGCTCTCAAGTCTCGTAGACTGCCAGAGATGGATGGAGCCAGAGCTCTCAAGTCCCGTAGAGTGCCAGAGATGGATGGAGCCAGAGCTCTAAAGTCCCGTAGACTCTGGAGCAGAGCTCTCAAGTCCCGTAGACTGCCAGAGATGGATGGAGCCAGAGCTCTCAAGTCCCTGCCAGAGATTTATGGAGCCAGAGCTCTCAAGTCCCGTAGACTCCGAGAGATGGATAGAGCCAGAGCTCTCTCAAGTCCCGTAGAGTGCCAGAGATGGATGGAGCCAGAGCTCTCAAGTCCTGCCCAGAGAAGGATGGAGCCAGAGCTCTCAAGTCCCGTAGACTGCCAGAGATGGATGGAGCCAGAGCTCTCAAGTCTCGTAGACTGCCAGAGATGGATGGAGCCAGAGCTCTCAAGTCCCGTAGAGTGCCAGAGATGGATGGAGCCAGAGCTCTCAAGTCCCGTAGACTCCGAGAGAAGGATGGAGCCAGAGCTCTCAAGTCCCGTAGACTGCCAGAGATGGATGGAGCCAGAGCTATCAAGTCTCGTAGACTGCCAGAGATGGATGGAGCCAGAGTTCTCAAGTCCCGTAGAGTGCCAGAGATGGATGGAGCCAGAGCTCTCAAGTCCCGGAGACTCCGAGAGAAGGATGGAGCCAGAGCTCCCAAGTCCCATAGACTGCCAGAGATGGATGGAGCCAGAGCTCTCAAGTCTCGTAGACTGCCAGAGATGGATGGAGCCAGAGCTCTCAAGTCCCTTAGACTGCCAGAGATGGATGGAGCCAGAGCTCTCAAGTCCCGTAGACTCCGAGAGAAGGATGGTGCCAGAGCTCTCAAGTCTCGTAGACTGCCAGAGATGGATGGAGACAGAGCTCTCAAGTCCCGTAGACTCCGAGAGAAGGATGGGGCCAGAGCTCTCAAGTCCCGTAGATTCCCTGAGGAGTATGAGCCATGGATCATACCCCTTAGTCTCTCTGTGGAGTATGCAAGCCACGGATTTCAATAACCGTAGACTCTCTGAGAGCTATGGAGCATAGCTTTCAAATCCCAAAGAATCTATGAGGAGTGTAAGTGGTCACAGCTCTCAACTCCTGCCGAATCGCAGTGGAATATAGAGCCACAGCTCCGAAATCCTGTGGACTCTTTGCGGCGTGTAAGAGCCATTGTTCTTAGTTCATTAAGAATTCCTACTGAGGATTCCAGATCAAGTAGTAATTCTTTACGGGCTTTAAATACAGAGTCGTCCTTCTCCGTGACTGGTTTCCGAGCACGGCTAAAGACCACAGTTTACTCTACTATTTAATCCTTAACAGAGGGGAGAAGAGATGGCTTCGTACATTACCCGATAGTATTTGCGCTTAAGTAAATGCAATGAACTCGACTGCAATTCGAACTCAGCTCTCTAGTCTCGCTTTCCTTGCCGCTATCAGTCACACCACCCTCACATCCTGAACCAACTACAATGAAATATGTATTATTTACCATGTTATAAGGAAAAAAAAGAAGAAAACATGTTTTTTTTTTATTCATGAATTTATAAATATGAAAGAGGAAATTTAAATAAACACAGAGCTGTGATTGGTTGTTTGTCTTTGTTTAGTGACATATCAACACATGTACGGGTTAAATATTTTTAGGCGATTTTATTTTATTTATTTTGGGGAGATATTAATGTTTTTAGTGATACATCTGGGGAGAGAAGAGCTTGATTCATACCGTTCCCAAGAGTATTTACGCGTAAGTGAATATAACGAACCCAACCAGAATTGGAACTCGGCTCCCCGATTATCAATTCCGAGCTATTATCTATTACACCACCCGCACATCCAAGCTTACACCTCGCATCCCTAAGCGGTCTCTCATCTACGTACTGACCTGGCTCGACGTTGATTAAATTCGGTAATCGTATGAGAAAAGGTATTAATCCTTTTCTCTCTCTCCAGCTATAGGTATATACCAGGACATAATGGGTTCTATAGCCTTGGATGGCAACTGGTCTAGGAGAAGGACAACTCTGAATTCAAAACCTGTGGAAGGGTCGTTTGGGGACCTTGTGACACGTAGTGCACCAGGTCTCTGTATTCGGCTCTTCAAATGTGTGGTTGGTTCTGCACAAAGCCTTCACCGCTATAATAATATCGTATGTGCTGGTGTCTGGCTGTCGGTTCCTAGAAACTGAGCTGTTTTACTCACATACGTCGCTTACGACGGGAGAGTTCACCATATATATATATATAAATATATATATATATATATATATATATATATATATATATATATATATATATATATTGTTTACCGGGTGCAGCTATCGTTCTATTATATGTTTTATTAAAGACGATTAACAAGTTTGAACTATTAAGCTATTATTCAGTCTCACTTGTGTTAAGGTGTTAAGCTTTTTAATAATTGTGTATTTTGGTAACAAATTATTTTATACAAGTTTCATATACATACATATATATATAACGTGGAAGATTTCAAGCTTGGACGAGAATAATAGATTCTATTGATCAAGTAAGGAATGGATTTATTATCGAACTGTTTTTTAGAACTGTTCCATCGTTTTTGAAATCACTTTTGGATTTGCCTTGTAACGGGAAGGACTTCAAGCTTGTTGAAGATATAAGAACCAATTGATCACTACGTATTCCGACATCAACGGAAGAGATTTCTTGAACTGTTTATAACAATTTTTCGATTTTGGAAATCATCTTCGAATACGTTTTAACAACATCGCCCACGTGACGACTACGTGATCATTTTTAAACAGAACGCTGATCTGTATAAAATTTCAGTTATCTGTGTGAATTATTTGGGCTCTTATGTCTATCGTCTTTTATGTTAAATTTTAAAAATTTTATAAGTTATAATGTTAATTATGTTTAAATGAAAAGTCCATGATGATGGTCTAAAATAGACCGAAACGTCCGACGTCGACTTTATTTTAACATTAACACGACATAAATGCATATTCAGATTTTTGTTTTTTCTGTATTTTTCTTTCATACTGTCGGATTTATATCCATATATTTGCTTACATATATATATATATATATATAATTATTTTTTATAAAAAAATTATAACATGAGTATGTTAGAAAATCACTACAAAAATAGCAATTTGGTTCAACACACTCTATAAGACACAAAATGGTACATTGGCTCCTGAAAAATTAATTTCAGTTGAGCTCTCTGGGGAGGAGATGTGGGTTGGTAAACAGTGACTATTATAGCTATATAGCGAGACTCTTCGCTAATGCGAATTGAGTCACTCCCGGTCACTGGGCGTGTTTATAAAGATAAACACGCTAAAAATCCACTTTCATCCCTACCGTGCGCCGATGACTTAATGGTTAGAATCTCCGACTGACACCAGTTCAGTCGGGTTTCGACCCTAGCTGGAGGCAACCGGATGTCTAGCCACACTGATTTTTACACTGTTTATTTTGATAGCATGTTTTCGTTCACACTGGTTTCGTTAAATAATTTAGACACGTTCTGCCTACTTATTCTCGATGAGAACCTTTCATATTCGCGAATTAGCTGTTTTCTGGGGTTGTTAAAAGACGAAAGGAACACGCCATGTTAGCTCATATTCCGACTTCTTTCGACACAGAATAATGTCATCATCAGGGTACTAAGTATTTAGTGTTCATGGTTGTGAAGGACAAAAATTTTTGTGGTCATCTGATGATTACCATTTTTATATGTGGAGTCACGAACGCCGTGTCGTGGCTGGTTGACAGACACTGGTTTAAGGGGAGGTAACTAGGTTTGCTGTAGAAAGGTTCTGGGATTGAGCAGTTGCTAGATAATGGAAAAACTATTGATAACAAGCGCTGACACTGAAAGACTATCTATTTTACACATTTTAAAATGTTTGTGGATTATTTGTAATTAATTTGATTGAGGTTTGGTTTCAAGGTTTTCATATAAATAGCTTCGAGACTTTTTGGTTTGTGTTTATGCTTTTCGTGGAAAACTATGGAGGTATTTGAAACGAGGATTTTTTTGAATTGCGTGTGTAGACAGGTATATTGTTGTAAGTATTTCGAAAATATTGGAAGTATTCTTCAAGCGAAGACTTAGCCTACGTGAAAGCGTTGTTGTCGTGCGTCCAACATAGATATTGTTTTTATCTTGGAAATGCAGTCTCCCAGGGGATATTTAAATTTATAAACGATGTTGGTTTTATGCACCACGCAATGTTTCTAAAACAAAACTAAAGAAAGTGTTTCCTGTGTAGAAGTGAATAAGTGCATGCGAAAGAGAAACTTTGTAACAGTGAGAGAGAAGAGAGAGAGGAAAAGAAAGAGAGAGGGAGTGAGAGAGGGGGATGCATGTGCGAGAGAGATTGTAAACAGGAGTTTTAAATTATTTAGATTTTTCTTTGAATTGTAACCTTTTTTGCAATTATTATTTTATTATTATTAGAAACGCGTGATGCCGTACATGTGACGACAAGCATCGATACATACTCACTCAAACACACGCAAGCAGACAAACACACATATACAATTATTATATATATATATATATATATATATATATATATATATATATATATATATATATATAACGTCATCCACAGACAGACTGTTTCGCTGTTTCACAGCTCATCAGTGTGGCTAGACATCCGGTTGCCTCTAGCTAGGATCGAAACACGACTAAATTGGTGTCAGTCGGAGATTCTAACCATTAAGCCGTCGGCGCGGTATGAAAGTGGATTTTTAGCGTATTTATTTTTAGAAACACGCCCAGTGACCGACAGTGACTCAATTCGCATCTGCGAAGAGTCTTGCTATATAGCTATGATAGTCACTGTTTACCAACCCACACTTCGTCCCCAGAGAGCTCAACTGAAATTGATATTTCAGGCGCCAATATATATATATATATATATATATATATATATATATGGTCAACCACAGGAACCGAAACTGTTTTTCAATCAAGGAAACTCCTCCTATAGGCGAATGGCGTCTTTAACAATTCGGCTAGAGATAGCGCGTGGATGTTCGATAAAAAAACAGTTCCAAAATATATTTATACAAGACCAAGTCATTAGGCAAACATATTGTTTTACGATGTATATATATATATATATATATATATATATATATATATATATAGAAAGAGAGAGAGGCAGACAGAGAGACAGACAGACAGAGATTGATAGATAGATAGACACCCACACGCACGCCATTGCGCCCGTGCACACACACACACACACACACACACACAGGCACCCGCACACACACACACGCACCTGCACACACACACGCACACACATACATATATATATTCAAACAGGTTTGGTTAAATAATCTCATTCTGATTCTCTTCATACCTGCTTGCTGGAATATAAGTGACAATGGCAAGTCTTATATATATATATATATATATATATATATATATATATACACCTATCTTCTTAAGCATGTTCATGTCTGCTATTCTTTCTGCGTCTCACTATATATATATATATGTGTGTGTGTGTGTGTGTTTGTGTGCGTGTATATATATATATATATTTATATATATATATATATATATATATATATATATAGATAGATAGATATAATTAACTTATTTATATCCACCGGTTCATGTATATCGGTGTATTATATCTCTATTCATCTATTTAGATATCTGGATTAACCTATTCGTATCTATCTATCTATCTATCTATCTATCTATCTATCTATCTACCAGGCTGTTTCTATCTATCTATCTATCTATCTATCTATCTATCTATCTATCTATCTATCTCTTCCTCTCTCTCCCTCTCTATCTATCTATATTTATATATTATTAGTATAAATTTTAGCTCTGTTTCATTATAATTGTTATTGTGCTATAATGCTTAAATCTGTTGCTTTCTTTCTACTTCCCTTTCTCTCTCTCGCTCTATATCTATCTATCTATCTATCTATCTATCCATCCATCCATCTATCTATCTATCTATCTATATATATATATATATATATATATATATATATATATATAACTGTCTATGTATCTATCTTTTAACATAGAGAATAAATCATTTCTAATTGTCCTTCTATAAAAACTATGCCGCCTCCTTGATTTTGCATCGCTGTTGGCTAAACGTCTCCACTTAGCAGGAGGCGTAATTACAAATACAAAGGGACTAGATTCAGGCTAAAAACCTCCTTTCATGGCCTCCGAGAAACAAGCATCACGAGGAATTGCGGGGGAGGAATTTGGTGGGGCGGCAAATATGACGAATGTGGTTCTGTTAATAAACATGTGTGTTGTGTTGCGTTCTTCATTTAAGCACTCTTTTAGTCTAGACCGCCCGCCCACCCCCTATCTTGATTTCTTCCTTGCTGATTATTGATCAATCTATCGAACTATATCGGGATGCCGGTTTATATATATATATATATATATATATGAAGAAAAATATACAGAAAAAACAAACAAAAATCTTAATATGCAATTATGCTGTATTAATGTTAATATAATGTGAACGTCGGACGTTTCGGTCTATTTTAGACCATCATCAGGACATATTCATAAAACATAATTAACATTATAACATATACAAATTCAACATGAAAAAGACGATGGACATTTTAGTCGTGTTCTTATGTCCATCGTCTTTAAAACACGAACTACTCCATGTGAAATAGATTTAAACACAATTATAAATAATGAAGATGGTATAGCGGCGTGTGAAAAAGAATACAGAATATTGGTTGGAAGTGTTATTTACGTCATGACATCAAAAAGACCAGACATCTGCTAGACGGTTACTAAGTTGTCCCTAGACTGAAATAAACCGAGGACTGTGCATTTAACAAGAGCTAAGCAAGTATTATGTTATCTAAAAGGAACTAAGAGTCGGTGCCTAGTATTTCGACAATCAAAAACCCACTATAACTGGAAAGATGTTGTGATGCTGATTGGGAAAATTCACCAGATCGTAAAAGTATCAAAGGCTATTGCTTTAGATTGGCAAAAGATAATCCAATAATTAACTGGAAATCTAAGAAACAGGAAATGATTTCACTTTCTACTTATGAGGCGGAATATGTTGCATTGTCGCAAGCAACACAAGAGGCTATTTTTCTTAAATTACTAATAAAAACAATTACAACACTGATAATAAGTGAGCCTATAACTATTTACTGTGATAATCAGGCCTGTATTGTTTTGACTAAAAATCCAATAATACATCAAAGATCAAAGCATATTGATATTAAATATCAATCTGTTAGGAATCAGGTACAAAAGAAAACAGTACAAATTGAATATGTTCAATCGGAAAATAACGTGTCGGATTTATTTACAAAGCCAATTACAAAATTGAAATTAGGGGCTTTCATTCCTGTCATATTTGGTACTGACCTATAAGGCCCTTATTAGTCCTGGGCAAGACGTAAAACTGCATCGATTAGTTATTGTGTTAAGAGACGTCAGTTTTTGGTACGAATGTAAGGCCTTAGTTTCCGGATATAAACGTAAATAGTCCTACTTTTAGCCCAATCCTCCTCTGAATGACTCTCAGAATCACTCTGACCCGGAGTGATGGTGCGTGTTTTAATGGGTCCCAGCTATGGGTAAAATAACAACTTTTTCAACTATTTTGTTCTGATCACAACCCAAATTTATAATATTGTTATTAATGTTTATTAACCTGAAATACTTAACAGTGGACAAAATGATATAACTAATTTTTGTGAATATTATCTTTAAAAAAAAAATTACAAAGAAAAATTAATTACAAAACAAAAAAGATATATTTTATGAATACTAAATTATTTGTTCCATATGAATATTGACTTTAAAAATATTTTGAAAGAAGATTCCATAATGTAAACAAAATGGGGGTGGTGGAGTTTTGGGGTACCCTGGTGTACTAGTGAGCCAGCCAAAATGAGTTGACTCATTTTATAGTTCACCAATAGAAGGGTTAAACAATCAGAAGGCTCAAAATATTCAATGTGACGTGTATAAAGGCGGCCATGTTTTTTTCCCAAATATTCAGTGGCAACCTTTGATATCAAAGACTGAAGAATTACGGAACAACTGCTGGTGGTATTGGCGATATAGTCAGATTCAGTAGAGTGTTCTAACTCGTGAGTGTTAATCTTTAACATTGAACAGTTAAGTACTGCGCTGTATTCTATATTCATAGACTATGGTGGACATGGTCAACATGTATATCTATTATTTACATTATTTACATTATTCGGACTGTCATCCTCAACTTCATTGCCGTTTCGGCCTCTATATCTCTGAGATGAGGTATTATGATTACTTGCATTATTTACATTATTCGAACTGATATCCTCATCTTCATTGGCATATATCACAACGTTTCGGCCTCTATATTTCTGAGATGATGTATTATGATTACTTGCATCCGTTGGCTTCAAGGCGGGATTGAAATCCGACCGATTTGGTACCAGTCAGAGATTCTACGACTAAGCTATCGTCGCACTGCTGAGCGAAAGTGAAATTCTAACGTTTTTACTATGCGAAAGGCGTCAGTAGCTAGGAGAGCTCGATTCGAATAGAAGAGCATTGCATTAGCAGCAGTAACAGCCACTGTTTATATAATCAACCCTTCCTCTCCGAGAGCTCAATCGAATTATTTCGAGAGCATTGTCATCCACAGACAGACTGTTTCGCTGTATCACACACACACACACACACACACACACATATATATATATATATATATATATATATATATATATATATATGATTCTCTAAATGTAGCTTAGATGTGGCACAAATCCGAAAGTATGGGGCACATTGTGTGGATCGAGCTCACTGCTCAGTCGTAACTGATGTAGTTTTAATTCATCTAGTCGTACTAATGTTTGATTTATTTGCTTAACGGCACATCAAATTCTCATGGGTCATTTAATGCTGAAATTTTTAAAAAGCTTTGAAGTAATAAAAACATGATATGTTATTATGGTTTCACAGTTGAATAAGTGGCAGATGATATATGTGTTTTATGTTATATTTTTCTTTATATTATATTTTGGAAGACAGTTTTTCAGAAATTGTAGGATATTATATGATTTAATGCTATGAAAGTTCTTTCATGTTGGTTAGTTGGTTGTTTAGTGGTATATCAACACATCTATGGGTTTTTTTAATGCCGAAATGTAAATACAGTTTGATTCCTGTCGGAGGACGCATATTTTCTATGAAGATTTCTCCGAAAATTCAAGCCGGTAAATGTCGTTAATACAGTTTATTATAAACAGAACATTTATATTGTATCTATAAAAAGAACATATAAACATAAAAAATGTTTTAAAATAATTGTCGGACTTAGTCCATTTCATAATATATATATATATATATATATATATATATATATATATATATATATATATATAGATAGATAGATAGATAGATAGATAGATTATAATAATAATAATAATAATAATAATAATAATAATAATAATAAAAAGTCTTAAACACTAATATTCCATGGTCATAATTTATTCCATTGGAATCGTAAATACGATCCAATTCATCAGACCTACAAATTCAAAAGGAAAACAGAAAAAAAAAACTCCGGAAATAAAAACAGAATTTAGAGAGAGTGTAAGTATGAGGGGGAGGGAGATTAAACCTTAACAGAGAGAATATTAGGGGAGGTGGGTGGAAGGGGTTTAAGTAAGACAAAAAATGAAAGTTGTCGGATGTATAAAGATACATTTCGTGGTGACATACACAAACCATAGACAATTTAATGTTAGAATAAGAGGGAGGGAAAGACGAGGTGGGGGAGACAGATGGGGCGAAGGAAAGTAAAATTGCGTTTACTTAAAGGGCCGCTTTGTAATTGAGAAAATTTGACAAATTTAATATCGACTACAGGTTACAAATCAAATATAAACATATGTATGTATGTATAAACGCAAATAATATTTGTAAATTTAAGCATATTTAATTTCATGGCGTAAACTAATTATATTTTGAACGCAAATGTATGCCTTCAACTATAGATAAAATGTATTGCTGGTCGTTTTGCTATAAATATGTATGGTTGTTTATTTTTATATAAAAATATATTGCTTGTATTTTTATCCTTTCATAGTGTACTGTTTGTGGGTTCGTTGTTTTCCCATAGTTGGCACCCTAACAATTGTATGTCTTCAGCTATAGGTAAAATGTATTGTTGCTCATTTCGCCAGAAAATGTATTGTCGGTCATCTTACTATAAATAGGTATTGCTGGTAATTTTTTATATAAAAAAAGTATTACTGGTATTTTGACTATAAAAATCTATCAAATTTAGCATTTACTTTATTAAATATAAATTTCTTTACGATTTACTTCATTAAAAACAATTTAAAAATAATTGACCAATTAAGATTTTTAATTACTTTTATTCGGTTATAAAAAAAAGTTATGTTTTTTTTCTGGTGCTGAGGTGTCTCGGTCCTGAGTTGTTTTGTCGGCGGTATTGAGTCGGCGGTCTTGAATTGTCACTTCCCGGATTGGCAATGGCCACATTGATTTTCCAGGTTCTCGTCGATGATATCCTAAACTTTGGGGATGTTTTTCTGTTTTGCTTTGTTTTTTTTTCTCTTTTGTCAGAAGCCGGGAGTCCTTTTCTCGCGAAGGGTACGGCAATATTTATGTAGGTGGCAATCTCTGAATCACTGTCGTTGGCAGAGTACGATATGTATTTTCATATCCTGTGATGGAGTTGAAATTATCCCTCCCGAGTTTGAAACAAGAATACAGAGTCAATATTTTTAGTTAATGTTTATAAGATAAGACAGAATCACACAAAAAAAAAATAAACAAACCTT